AGTTACTTAGTTTATTTAAGTTACTTAGTTTATTTAAGTTACTTAGTTTATTTAAGTTACTTAGTTTATTTAAGTTACTTAGTTTATTTAAGTTATTTAATTATTTAAGTTATTTAAGTTACTTAGTTGACTTAAGTTATTAAGTTTGTTTAGATTATTTAAATTATTTAGTTAGATTAGTTTATTTAGTTAAATTATTTTACTTAGTTTACTAAGCTTATCTAAATATAGTAGTCTAAGTAAAATAATAAAAATAAAGTTAAAAGTGCTATAAATTTTAAATAGCTAATTAAGACTTATGTTATACTTTTATACTATTTTTAGTAAATAGTAACAACTAGATTACTATAGTAATTACTATTACTAGAGCTAAAAGGTTGCATAGTAAACAGCAACCCTAGTTTTTATACTATGTTAGAAGAAAGTCTTAGGTAAGCTTATGTACTTTAATATAAAGCTAAGCCTAAGTTTTAATAGTGCTGTTATTAATAGCATAACTAATTAGATTTTTCTAAACTTTAACCTTAATCTAGTTAATAATTTATTAAGTTTAAGTAGTAAAGTTTTTTAAAAAGTTTATGTATTTTTAAATACTTTTTATTTCTCTTACTTAAGTATTTACTTACTATAGAGTTAGAAACTTCTTTAAAAAGCTAAGCTTTAAAAAAAAAATTAAACTTTAAGTAGCTAACTTAAAATCTTATTTATACTAGCTTAAAATTAAACTTAATTTAAAGTAGTTTTAAAAAATAAGCTAAAAGTTATAAAAGAAATTTAAGCTTATTTAAAAGCTTAATAAATTTTAGCTTTTAAAGCTTTTATAAAAAGTAATTATATAAACACTTTATTAGTTAAAAGTTATACTAGAATAGTAGTAGAACTAGTTTAAGCTAACTCTAGAAAGGTACTACAGTGTATTATGTTTACCTCTATTACTAACAGTTACTCTAAATAGCTAATAGAGAGCTAACTAGTACTTTTTAAAGTGCTAAAACCTAGAGAGCTTAATATAATAAAAAAATTAATTAATTTTTATTTAGTGTAACTAAAAAGGTTTTATGTTTAGTTTAACTATGTTTTTAATAGTTTTTAAAGTCTTAGAGGTTTATAAGAGGATATGTATATATATGTACTAGAGTATATAACAGAATGTTATGTGTCTAAGGCCGGGCCAAGGGCTCTCTAGAGAGAGTCCGAGACATGTCTAAGTTGACTGTGACACAGGAACAATTCTCATGAATCGTTCCATCTCGGGTCGCTCGGAACCTATCCGAAGGATCCCTGTATCGGCTCCGACCCTGACTCAACCCTGTCCCCCGCAGTTACCTCTATTCCCCTAAGTATTTAGTTGCACCTCTCCCCTTAGCTAGCTTAGTAGTTTTCTAATATTCTTTTATACAAAGCCTATAGGTGTTAATGGAAATCCTAGGTTATGAAGTCCCCACGCACTTCTATATGCCTCTAAGTGAATTCCTACCGCGTTTAGACCCATTGTCTTGCCTGCGCCATTACAGACACCTAAGAGCTTAGCATAGTGTATATCAGCTCCTTAGCCTCTATACCTCTGCCTCTAACTCTAAGGTTTACTCTTGTTGCCTCCCCTCTCCTATATTCCCTCTCTGTACCTTGTGCTTCCTGCTTAATACCTCTTACATTGTAAAACTTTACATATCTTCTTAGGATAAGCTGTTTGCGCAGTGTACCTAGAGAAGGCTTAACGTTATTAATTTTACTAGTAACAACACTTGCTATTATTATTTTAGTAGTAACCACTTGCTATTATAAAACAAGCTAAGTTAAACAAGCTTAGGCATTGTAACTAACAGAAGATGTAGGTACTTCTTATTCTTAATTATTAGCTTGCTGCTAACTCTAGTAGTTTTGTAAAAATATTAAAGTAAATATTAAGTATTTATAAAAAACTGTTATTTACAGCTTTAATTATAAAATGCTAATATAGATAGTGTTTTAAATCACGAGGCTTAGTGGCAAGTTGTAGAGAGTGTGGTGGAAGGGTTGGAGCTCGTGCTACAGTAAATGAGTTTTGAGGGGTTTGTATTTCACAAGTTAAAAACCGTAATCGCGAAATAATAGAGCTTGCTTTTCGACTGTTCTCTCCCGGGCCACCACCCACGACAGGACATGATCAGGTTGAATATAGTCTATTAAACTTCTTGCTAGAATTAGAAGGAATGTTTAGAGGAATCTTATCTCCATTGCAGAGCATTAGGATCTAGGGAATGTTGCACTACAAATGCTAACATGCGGTATTTCATAACATATTTTTTTAAAGAAAGTTCATTTTAAAGGAACCTGCCTAAAATTTGGACCCTAGATCTCGACTTGGGCGGATCTACTCCTGGTAGGTAATCGTCTTTATTCTTAGGAACTCTTCGATTCCCCAATTTCCATTGAAGCGTCCCCAACCACTCATCTTGGTACCACCGTGCGGCAAATTCGTTTCGTCGTGCACTGTCATTGCGTTGATGTGGATTGCCCTGCACTTGAATCAGTATGCTATTTCAACCGGACTCTCCAAGCCAACTAACCCACTCTCAATCCGCTTGGCAATTCTCAGTCCCCTTGCCAGATTCTCGGTGAACACGGCCCCAGAGAGGCCGTACTCAGTGTCGTTCGCAATCTGCATTGCTTCCTCCTCGTTCGAAATCTCGATAATGGAAACTGAGGGCCCGAATGATTCCGTGTGGTAGAGCTCCATATCTTTATTGACGCAATCCACGATGATTGGTCTCATCCTTGTCTTCGAAACCTCATTTATCTCTGGGTGCGCTTCATCCTTCTCATGGTCGCCATGAACGACTTTAGCACCAGCCTTCACAGCCTCAGAGATCAAGCGTTTATTCTTGTGGACGCCGGCAGATGCAATGAGAACAGGTGCTGGTTTTTCGCTACCAAAGAGGGCTTCAGTTGCACCTTTGAAGGCCTCGATGAATTGTGCTTTGATGTCTCTATGCACAAGGATTCGTTCTGTCGCCATGCATATCTGACCAGAATGCAAGAAAGCACCAAGCGCACATTGCGACGCCGCCTTCTTCAAATCCGCATCTTCGAGGACGATGGCGCTCGCCTTGCCTCCAAGTTCCAGCAAAACGGGTTTCAGGTTCTTCCCGGCAGTTTGTGCGATGATACGACCCACCGCCGTCGAGCCAGTGAAATTGATCTTCTTTATTGCCGGGTGCTCGATGAGAGTCGTGGTGATTTGAGCCGCATCTTGAGGTCGGTGGTAGAGGATGTTCAAAACGCCTGGTGGAAGACCAGCTTCGGTCAGGACGGATCCGATGGCCCAGAAACAGCGGGGTGAGAGCTCAGAGCCCTTTAGAATGCAGGTGTTCCCGGCAGCCAAAGCGTAGAGAACCGCCCGCATTCCGAGGATATAGGGAGCATTCCTAGATATTATGAGCTTTAACTAACAGGCACTCTGAGGACTTACCAAGGCGCAATCCCAAGCACCACACCCCATGGCTCCTTCACCACTAATGCGCTGGTCCCCTCTTCCGCACACACTGGTATTGACCCCATAACCCCACTAATCCTCCCCGCAACGTCCCTCAGCATCTCCCCTGTAAGCGGTACATTGAAACCTGCACTGAACAGCTTTTCCGCACCTGTCTCCTGCATCATATAATTCCCACATTCCTCGGTTCGCGATTGCAAGATATCGGCTGCCTTGAGCAAGATGTTGCGACGAAACGCCGGCTTTGTCTTGGACCAAGAAGGGAACGCCGATCGTGCAGCGGAAATGGCAGATGAGACGTCCTCGAGGGAGGCCGAGGAGGAGTTCCAGATGGTTTTGTGGGTGGAGGGAGAGATTACAGGGAAGGCGTTAGACGTGGTGACTTCTTTACCGTTGATCAAGAGGGGGACGGTATAGGGGGAGTTGGTCGCCATTTTGAAGACTTGTTCTTCTGTCAAGTACGTGAAGGTCGAGAGGCTATCTGTGTGTAATAGAGAAGCAAACCCCAAACGTCTGTATATATGTGGAAAGAGGTGGGGATGAAATCTCCAAACGGGGTTTCAGGGTGCGACAAGCAGACGTTCGCTTAAACTCAGCGCGAGCACGATAGTCGGAAAATGAGGTGGAAGCCATTTTCAGACCTAGTTTGTCGCAAAAAGGCATCGGCAGTTAGGCAAAGGCTAGGAAGCTGTCAACAAGCTTCTCTCAGAAGGGAGAGTTTGAGCACGGACTCTCGGAGCTGCCGATCTATCGTAACGTACTTCATGGGCGAGTCGCTCACACACCCGAGTCGCTCACTTTTGCCAAGACCCCACCCTAACAAACTCTATTATAGCCTATAACAACCCGCTCTAGCACTATATAGTACAGTACAGCCTAGAATATTATTTAGATACTACTTCTGCTTCTTGCTTACACATTTATGTGTTATGCCTAGTCTAATTGCACTATCTGCAGCGCCTTTAGAATAGCTTACCTACTTTAGCTTGCACCTGCTTCTTTGCCTTCTTCCTGTTACTGCGCGCCCTAAACTCTTTTAAAGCTGTTAAGTATAAGCTTTTCTAAATTATTAAAGTTTTTTTTACTTTAATCTACTTTTTTTTATGTAATTTATGTTATATAGTAGCTTTATTAGCTACTTAAAGCTTAGTAATTTCTTATTACACTAACACTAGCTTATATATAATTATTACTACCCCTTTTAAGACTTTTTTAAACACCTTAACTATAAAAGTTAGTAAACTATTTATATGCTTTTAAATTTTTATCTTTATAAGTATTAATTATAACTTAAGTTCTAGAGTATTACTTAAGGTTTATAACTACTAGGGCTTATTATATATAAGTAGTAGTAGTAATAGAGTGCGCAACTTTACATTAAGGCCTATTATAACTTATTATAGGTTAAAAGGAACTAATCTAGTGCTTTAGAACTCTTCTTAGATATTACTAAAAGTAATTACAGCATTATAGGCTACTTTAAAGCATAGTAAGAACTTTATTTTTATAATATAAGTAATTTAGTTATATATAAGGTTTTTAGCTTAGCGCCTATACACCTTCTTTAAAGAAGTAAAACAACCTACATTAAGTAGCTATAAAAGGTGTAATAAGTAAAAAAATATATAAATAGTAATAATTTTATTATTCTTATAGTATTACTAAAAATAAAGTAAGTTATAGCTCTTATAGCTGTTAATAACTAGCAGATAGTAGCTGCTAACAGTACACTTTTTTATATGCGCGTTAAAGTGCTTTAACTAGTCTAGACTAAGCTAATTAGTAGTCTAGCTGCGCTTAGAGATTATAATAACTTAATTCTAAAGTAGATTTTCCTTCTTGTACTAGTTTAAAAGGTAGTTGCTACTTTAAAAGATAATAAAAAGTAGAATAGCCTACTTTTTAGCATTAATGCCTTAGATAGCTGTTGTCTACTCCTAGTTACCTAGCTAGACTGCTTTTAGCTGTTCTTGTCTCTCTAAACCTGTAACAACTGCTCTAGTAGATATCTAGCCTATTATAAACCCTGTCTTGTTAAAGTTGTACATGTTATTATTCTAGATGCTATACTTAGCTTTAATATTCTTTATAAGGTTAAACTAGCCTTAAATTACTATAAAATTCTTATAAAAAGCTCTTTTATAGTTATACTTACGCTTAAACTTTACTTTAAGCTTTAGGTAACACTTAATAAACATATTAAGCTAGTTTATGCTAATATAGCCTATATTACACTTAGCGCATAAAGAATTAGCTATATTAGCCACAGCTGCTAGCTAGGGGGGAAATCCTTGCGCATCTAGCTTAAGTATGTGCTAAATAATTACTTGCTTCTTGTTATTATCTAGCTTCTATAAGTTAGCTGTATAATTAGCTTAGAAAGGTTGTCTAGTGTGTTAGTTGCTTATTATCTTTTAAGGGACCCTGTAGATAGCTGCAGCGCGTTAGTTAGAGAGTGTTGCGTCTTGTTTAAGAGCCTAGAGCGCAAGCTGCATCTAACGTTCCTTTAACGCGTTTAAGTGGTGTTGTTAGGAATGCATTAGTGTAGGAAGGGTGGTGTGGTGGGGTCTTGGCAAAAGTGAGCGACTCGGGTGTGTGAGCAACTCGCCCATGAAGTACGTTATTAAAAATCGGCGAATTTGGACCACCCCCCGGAATTTGGATCAACTTTTGGCGAATTGAGGAAGACCGGAGCTGCGGCGACTGAGGGGGTTGCAAGATAAGTACCGGTACCTAACCCTAAACCCCCCCCCTCTCTCCTAGAGAACCGGGGATAAGTACCAGAGGACGAGACAACTGCGCGGGACCCAGGGGAGTCGTGAATTAATGGAATCGGAGGTGGAGGACACGCGTTAGGGGCGGCAATTAACCTAAACACGCGTTAGGACGCGCAAGGCAACTAAGGCAGAGAATATAAAAAGATAATAAGAAAACTTAAGTAATAAAAGTAAAATAAATAAAGTAATTAATATTAACTAAAAAGCCTCTAAAGCCTTATAATTAACCTACACTTAAGGCTAACTAAGAATAAAATATAATAAAGAAATAAGTATAACTACCTAAAAAAAGTGTAAAAGTAAAATAAAAAAAAGACTTATTAGCTATAGTGCTTATAGCACTTAAAAAGACCTAAGATAAAATAATAGCTATAATAAAGTAAATAAAAAAAACATGCAACCTAGATTAAGATAATAATAAAAGCACTTACTTAAAAAGTAGAAGCACTAAAAGTAAAGAACAAAGTAATAGTAGATAAATTTAAGACCCTTCTAGCTAGATCTTACACGCTGCCTAGTAAATTACTATCTTACGCTGCTATAGCATAATTGCCTCTAAGTAGCTAGCCTAGTAACTTATAGACCTTTTCTACTAATATAGCACTCTTAATAATAACAGACACACTTTACTACATAATTAACACATCTAAGATTAAAAAGGTAAATAAAGAGAAAGTAAAACTAGGTAAGATTAAATAAGCTATTAAAAAAAAATGTAAACAAACTATAAGCACATAGAATAGTAATATGCAGCAGTAGTTAAAAACCTAAAAAACACTAATTAAATTAACGTACTTCATGGGCGAGTTGCTCACACACCCGAGTCGCTCACTTTTGCCAAGACCCCACCAAACCACCCTTCCTACACCAATGCATTCCCCACAACACCACTTAGACGCGCTAAAAGAATGTTAGATACAGCTTACGCTCTAAGCTTTTAAATAAGACATAAAACTCTTAAAGAAATGTGCTGTAGCTATGTGCAGGGTCCTGTAAAAGACAATAAATAACTACAGCGCTAGACAACCTTTACAAGCTAATTCTACAGCCAAATTACAGAGGCTAGGCAATAAAAAGGAGCAGGTGATTGTCAAGACTATACTTAAGCTATATGCGCGAGGAATTTCCCCTTAGATAGCATTTATGGCTAATATGGCCAATTCTTTGCGCGCTGAGCGTAATCTAGGCCATGTTCGCATAAACTGGCCTAGTACGTTTGTGAAGCGTTATTTAGAGCTTAAAGTGAAGTTTTAAGCGCAAGTATAGTTAAGAGATATCTAGCTGATTATAAACCCTGTCTTGCTAAAGTTGTACGTGTTATTATCCTAGATGCTATACTTAGCTTTAATATTCTCCACAAGGCTAAACCTGCCCTGAATTACCCCAGGACTCTCGCAGAGGGCTCTCTTATAGTTGTACTTACGCTTAAATGTTACTTTAAGCTCTAAATAACGCTTCACAAACGTACTAGGCTAGTTTATGCGAACATGGCCTAGATTACGCTTAGCGCGCAAAGAATTGGCTATATTAGCTATAAATGCTATCTAAGGGGAAATTCCTCGCGCATATAGCTTAAGTATAGTCTTAACAATCACCTGCTCCTTTTTATTGCCTAGCCTCTGTAATTTGGCTGTAGAATTAGCTTATAAAGGTTGTCTAGCGCTGTAGTTATTTGTTGTCTTTTATAGGACCCTGCACATAGCTATAGCACATTTCTTTAAGAGTTTTATGTCTTATTTAAAAGCTTAGAGTGTAAGCTGTATCTAACGTTCTTTTAGCGCGTCTAAGTAGTGTTGTGGGGACTGCATTGGTGTAGGAAGGGTGGTTTGGTGGGGTCTTGGCAAAAGTGAGCGACTCGGGTGTGTGAGCAACTCGCCTATAAAGTACGTTAAAGTTATATATAAAAATAAAAGTAAGCTCTAAGTAGTTAAAAAGGTAGCCTATAAGATAGTAGCTAGAGGAGTTAGAATACTGCGTAACTAGCTCTTTTTAATTAGGGTAGATAACACTAACTAGCTAGTAGTGCTGTTAGAAGAAAAACAAATCTAACTAAAAACCTTAGAGGCTCTTAAGGCTAAAAATAAAGTGTAAGTAGTAAAAGTTAGCTAGCTAAGTAAAAAGAATTTAAGAAAGGCATATAAATTAATAGTAGTATATGTTACTAAAAGTAGTAATACAGCCTAGCTGCTATAAGAATAGTACTTCTATATTAATAGAGAATCTGCATACATAAGACTATTTAAACTATAAAATAAACTATTATAGTGCTACTAATGCTAACAGCTAGAGCATAAGGCATTTACATGCACAAGGCAGCAAGTTTGTGCTAGGTGCGCTAGCAAAGAACACTACTATAGTAAATGCTAAGTAATAGTCTCTAAATGTGTACTTTATAAAGGCTTTTATAAATCTTTCTTTAAGAACTATTAAGTGCTATACCCTAGTTAAAATGCCTAGAACGCTTAAAATATTCTAACTTAATATAAAAAAAAACATAAAGTACTACATAGTGTAATAAATAATAAGTAACTATAAAACTTTACTATATTAGCTATTTAAAAACCTTATGCATAAAAAAATAAAAAAAGAGAATTATTATAACACTAGCTAGACACGCCTACTAGGCTAAATTTACGCTAACTGCATGTAGAGACAAGAGGTAGCTCTTCTAGAGTATGCTCTAGATATAGAAAGACATTAAGGCTAAATAGCTGCTAGTACAGTTGCTAGACCTTATAGCAGTAACACTATAACTACTTAGTTAAACAGTCCTAGTAGTGTTAGTCTATATTAAAATAAAAAATAAGTAAGCACTAAAAAAAATAATAAATTACATTTAAACTTTAATTTAAACTACACATAACTAAACTAGAACATAAGTA